TGTAAAATGAGAAATCAAAGTAAGAATTCCCGTAAACTATTATTGTTTATATCGCGTGCGTCTAGTTAATCGAGATTATTCGTAAAATACTGCGTGCTTCCGATTGAACAAAAATAATAACACACGATAAAAAGCAGACGAAATTGTTTTCTAACGAAGAAATAAGAAGCCACTGCCAAGAATTGGCTTCAGGCATAAGGCCTAACAAAAGTCTACATTCATTCAGAAATGTTCACAGCTAGCTGTAGAAGTGCTAAAATTCTAAAAAAATCTTAAGAATGAAATCTAATCATTTGCTATCAATTAAAATTAAAATAATCTTGTTATTTAGGTGTTTTATGTTGATTTGAAACTGAAAAACTGCTAATCAATTTTTAAATTTGCTAATCAAATTTGGCAAAATTGGACTTTTTGTTTAGCAGTGCTGCTAATCATCTGTGAAAAATTACCGACAGCCCTGCAAGTCAGAAATATTTAACCTTATTTTCCTAGAATATTGTTTTATTATGTTTTCTAATTTTCAACTAGAAACATTGTCGTGTTTCACTACACACTTCACTATTTTTGTTATGCTAGGTTCCCAGTGTCATGTGATGCGTTACGATACGATTGTCCCTATTGAGTCCTTGATCTGGTACGTGAAGATACGTTCGGATACGCTTTGATATGATCAACATGATTGCAATGACTGACCTCAATATATGACAAGACCTGATAGAATCACCACGATTTCAATCCCAGCACGAATTGGGATAGTGGGAACCTAGCATTATGTGGGAACCTAGCAATATATATGATAAGATCTTATAGGATCACCACAGTTTCTCCACGATTTCAATCGCAGCATGAGAGAGAGAGAAATGGGGTTTAACGTCCACTCGACACAAACTAGGTTATTTCGGGACTAACACATGGTTCAATTTTATTTCTATAATTCGCTTGCGTGTAGGGGTCTTTAGAAGTGGGAGGAAACCAGAGGACCCAGAGAAAACCCATGAGGCTGGACAGGCGACCCTACTCCTTGTCAGGTACAACCGGGCAGGGCTGGGGCCATTACATTGCCAATGTAATTAATTACATTACTATTACCATTACTTTTTAAATGTTATCATTACAATTACTTTTTCATTTTTAGCAATGTAATTAATTACCATTACCCATTACATTGAAAGTAATTAATTACCATTACCCATTACTTTATGACTATATAAATAAAAACATTTTTCATAGAAATTAAAAAGACAACCTTATTTTTCTGCCATGAAGTGCCTACAAAATCTAACTCAAAATAATCCTTGATTCACTTATAATAGATATTTGTTTAAGAATTGTCATAAACCATGCCAGTTATCGCAGCACGAATCGGGATAGTGTGAACCTAGCATTATATGATTACAGGGTAGAACCTCAAGCCTCCATGGAATATTCCTTTAATTAAAAACTAAATGCCTTTATTATCTGTATTATTTTTATAACACTGCATGCCACCCACTGGATGATAGTGAATTACGTCTATAATAGTAATTCATTTGTCTTCTTTTCAAGCTGTGATATAAACTAATGTAGGCCAAGTATAATTGAATATCTGTCTACTGTTTCTGATTCCACAGTTAATATTTTTTTAAGTCAGAAAAAGTGAAGCGATATTGGGGATTTAATGTACTCTCTAAGTGTTTAATGGAAAAAGAAAATATTAAGCTTCTCAGATGCATTACCGATATCCCATTATCTAATATGGCATACTCTCTCATAAGAGGCTATTCTAGTTTTTAAGTCTTATTTCTGTTAAATGGGCTTAGACAGTGGCATATCCTGATATTAAATTGAGTCGAGCTACGCCTCTGTGAGCAGGGATCGTATATTGTTATTAACCTATAATCCCCAACCACGTCCCGTCTATGCGTTAAGTATTAATCATTGTGTATTATGGTCCTCCACGAACTTATTCAGTCTTAATTACAAACGAATAAAAATGAAATGGGGTTTAACGTGCTACCGACTGGGTTAATAAAGAGGGGCATATGTCATACAGTGTGCTGATGAGGGAAATTTTGCCCACATAGCAGCGCTACAGTCTACTCTGACATCAAATTCCAACTGCCAAGGGATCTTTTACGGACAGCGGTGTTACAATCTATTCTTATTTAGAATTCTAACAGTCAAGGGTTCTTTTACGTGCACTCTAATTTATACACAGGACCTTAGTTATTTGTCCCATCCAAACTACTAGACAGCTGTCCTTGTCAGACCCCCTATATTGCATCACTGAGTGACAAGGGGAAACCAATGTCGGAAAATCCTAAGGAAGTTACTCGGCTGACACCAGGAGCTAACCTGAGATCTCCTGGCTAGCGAGTCAACATCTTACTCACTGAGCCACTGTGGCCCCCATAACATTACAATAGTCTTACACACTGAGCCACTGTGGCCCACATAACATTACAATAGTCTTACACACTGAGCCACTGTGGCCCACATAGCATTACAATAGTCTTACACACTGAGTCACTGTGGCCCACATAACATTACAATAGTCTTACACACTGAGCCACTGTGGCCCACATAACTTTACAATAGTCTTACACACTGAGCCACTGTGGCCCACATAACATTACAATAGTCTTACACACTGAGCCACTGTGGCCCACATAACATTACAATAGTCTTACACACTGAGCCACTTTGGCCCACATAACATTACAATAGTCTTACACACTGAGCCACTGTGGCCCACATAACATTACAATAGTCTTACACACTGAGCCACTGTGGCCCACATAACATTACAATAGTCTTACACACTGAGCCACTGTGGCCCACATAACATTACAATAGTCTTACACACTGAGCCACTGTGGCCCACATAACATTACAATAGTCTTACACACTGAGCCACTTTGGCCCACATAACATTACAATAGTCTTACACACTGAGCCACTTTGGCCCACATAACATTACAATAGTCTTACACACTGAGCCACTTTGGCCCACATAACATTACAATAGTCTTACACACTGAGCCACTGTGGCCCACATAACATTACAATAGTCTTACACACTGAGCCACTGTGGCCCACATAACAATACAATGACTCTGTGTGGTGTCCCATGTAAAAGAAGCATTGACAATTGGAATTCGAAATAAGAATCAGGGAGGGTGAAAACGTCATTGTACGGTCAAAATGTCCCTGATATCACATTACATGGGGTATGCCGTCTTTATTAGCCCAGTCGGTGCAAAAATTAGGGTGTTAAACCCCATTTTATGTCATATAGGTTTCGTTATATTGTCCTTCTTGGAATGGGGAATATGGTGGCCGGTTGGTCTAATGTGTGCCCTTTAGACTGTAACGTTTGTCATTGAGTCAAGCGACATCGTTTTGAGCGCCCACTTGTACGTGAGAAGGAGTAGGGTTGCCTGTCCAACCGTATTCGTTTTCACCAGGTCCAAGAGCTAAAGACCTGTACGCACAAGTGAATTATTGATGTAAAATTGAACCATATGTTAGTCCCGAAACATCCTAGTTTATGTCAAGTGGATGTTAAATCCCATCAAGTGGTATGGGGTGTTGGATGGCTGAATGTACGCGCTGTATCATAAGGCCTGTCATTGAGTAAACTGCCGTGGTTTCGAATCCCTGGTTGTACGTGAGAAGGAATAGAGTTGCCTTTCCAACCGCGTGGGTTTTCTCTGGGTCCTCCGGTTTCCTCCTACTGCTAAAGACCCCTATGCGCAAGCGAATTATTGCAATAAAATTAAACCATAATGTTAGTCCCGAAATGACCTAGTCTGTGTCGAGCGGACGTTAAACCCCATTTCTCTCTCTTCTCTTGATATATAAATATACGGTTCTATTTTATAAAGTGTATGGCCGTTTAACACCTCTATATATATCATTAATATGGATTCCTGTAATGGACCAACAAGAAAACGTTGAATTCACTTTCTAGATATTGAAATTCCTCAAGAAAACAGGAAATACGATTATTATTTTTTACTTGAATTGAGTAGTTTTGTAATTTCAAGCCTGTATGTTTTAGAATCGTATTTCACAATAAAAGTACTCGGAGATGCAGGAGACAGCCTATTGAGCTGATAAGGAATTTGTTCTTAGTTGTTCGAAACATGTGGAAAAAAAATCAAAATAAGTTTAACGTCCTACTGTTCTGCTCCTACTGGGCTAATGAGTGAAATTTTGCCCAGATAGCTGTGCTATGGCATACTTTTAGTTCAAATTCCAACTGTTAAATGTTCTTTAACATGCACGCCAATGTGTACACGGGACCTTGGTTTTGGCATATACGTTGTCCCTTGCCAGGCCACATTGGTGTGCACATAATAGAACCCTTGACAGCTGGAATTTGAAACGTGTACACAGGACCTTGGTTTTATCATCTCATCTGAACAACTATATATTGACCCTTGCTAGGCAATCGGACCTGCACTACTTTAAAACCACTCCCAAAAATCCCAACACTGTGATAAAAAACACAAGATCTATCGGCTCACTGAACCACCGCAATGTGCAATTCTCATGGGTATTGATTCATGCCATGCCATTGTTTGTTGTGTATACATACAATCTGATTAAAATACAGATCTATATTTCGTTTCGTTTTTTTATACTTTCGATGGCCTACACTACATGAAGATCTGACAAGTTAAAGTGATAGGTCACGTTAGAGGTTACACGAGCGACTTTTGACCCTACAACATCAGATATTTGATCAACCAATCAGCATTGATGTTACTAGTGGATTACCCACAGTTCCATGCAAAACACGCCTAAAGCTTGCCGTAACAGACCGTTTCATTGGCTAATCGCTCACACCATTTAGAACACGTCAATGATAACAACTCTTCCAGATCCTAGTGTAGTAAAGACAAGTAAAACCAAAATTTTAACTATAAAAAAAACGAAATTGGTTAACATATGCACTGAATAGAAAGAATTGTTCAAAAGAGGTTACTAAATGAATATATATTTCTCTTTTTCAGGTGTTTGGTTCCTACCTCGCATTTTGTGGAATAGGTGTAAAAAATGCTCAACTATACGAACGTTCTCAATTAGAAAACCGACGAAATCAGGTAATTTACTCCCCTGGTGACTCAGTGATTAGTGTGCTGGTTCACCAATAATCACGGTTCAATCCTATTGTCAGTCGATAAAGTTCTTTAGGATTTTTTCCTGGTTTCTCCTTGCCATTGGTGCAGGCTAGAAGGTCTAGATCTAACAAGTGATATATATGTCTAGTCATCGGTAAGGGATGAAAAACTGAGGTTCATCCATGTAATTGTCTTGTTGTAGGCTAGAGGGTCTAGACTGAACAAGGGATATATATGTCTAGTCATCGGTAAGGGATGAAAAACTGAGGTTCATCCATGTAATTGTCTTGTTGTAGGCTAGAGGGTCTAGATCTAACAAGGGATATATATATGTCTAGTCATTGGTAATGGATGAAAAACTGAGGTGCCCCCATATACTTGTCTTGTTGCCCGTCTTTATTAGCCCAGTCGGAGCAGAACAGTAGGACGTTAAACCCCATTTCAATTCATTTGATGTGCATGTACTTGTTTTGTTGCTGTGCATGTAAAAAAAGCCTTGAAATTTAAAAAACACCTTTGTCGATAAGGGATTGCATGGTGTATGCCCATCTTCAATAGATAGATTGGTGCATTAAGTATGATGTGAAAACTGATTTCATTTCATTTTAAAGGACAATATTGGTGTCAGTCATTATTGCATATGTGATATAACTTGTTAAACGTGTTCCAATAGATGCGTAATGAAGGTTTCTACAAAAGGAAGTGACGAACACAAAAGGAAAACACGAGTTAACCTTCCATTTAACTGACTGAAGTGATGAGTGTTAACAGATACACAGGTGAATTTCTGCTCACTAACAATTCCTTCGAAGACCAACAGTTGTTATGTGAGACTGAGAGAGGATATCTGATAATTCAAAAAATTAATTGAATTTCACAAGATAAGGGAAAAAGAGAAAAATAGAAATAGTCCGTACATCCCCTTGTTTTTATTCATTCTATAATGCACAGACTTTTTCTATTTTTCTTTCATGTTCTCTTATCTAGTGACAGTCAATTCTTTTTGTGAATTGTCAGATATCCTCTCACAGTCTCATATAACAACTTTCGGTCTCGAAGGAATTATTAGTGAGCAGAAATTCACCTGTGTATCTGTTATCATTCGTCATTTCAGTCAGTTATATAGAAGGATAAATTGTGTTTTCCTTTTGCACGCGTCACTTCCGATTGATGAAACCTTCATTATGCATCTATTGTAGCAATGATCTCTGGGTTAAAATTATATTTTGAACGTGTTTAACCAGTTCTATCACATATGTGATAATGACTGACACTAATATTGTCCTTTAATTCATTTAGCTACCAAATCGTCCACATGTCCCACGGTGTTATGTTGCCATGCTTGCTATTGAAAGTTTACATTTAGCTATGAGGCTGAACGAAAGCTGTTACATAAATTATTTACTGACTCCATTGTTTATTGTGGTATCTCCGTTGCAGAATTGTAATATATATGTGACAGATCATTATAGAACTTATAATGTTCAATGTTGAGTAGCTTGGAGCCGTTAAAAATTCATCAAGCTGTTATGACAGTATAATAAGGATGCCAATTGCAATTTATGAGTCTGATACCTAAAGCGTTAATAAAAGAATTAAAGAGAGAGAGAGAGAGAAATGGGGTTTAACGTCCACTCGACACAGATTAGGTCATTTCAGGACTAATATATGGTTTAATTTTATTTCAATAATTCGCTTGCGTGTAGGGGTCTTTAGCAGTGGGAGGAATTTGGAGGACCCGGAGAAAACCCACCAGGTCGGACAGGCAACCCTACTCCTTGTCACGTACAACAGGGGATTTGAAACCAGGCCAGTTGACTCAATGACAGACCTTATGATACAGCGCACATGTGCTAACCATTCGATCATCCAACCCCCCAATAAAAAATAAAGTGGATTTATAGTCACAACCAATAATACACAGATCGTAAGTTTATGGAATATAGTTATTGTTTATTTCTGCACGAAGTGTCGACTGGGTTTCTTTAGGCTTTTTGTGGTTTCGATTCCCCGCTTGTACACGACAAGGAGTAGGGTCGTCTGTCCAACTTTGTGGGTTGGATGGCCTAATGATTAGTGCCTGCACGTTCTGTCATAAGGTCTGTGATTGAGTCAACTGATGTGGTTTCGATTTTCAGGTTTTTTGTGACAAGGAGTAGGGTTGCCTGTCCAACCTCGTGGGATTTCTCCGGTTTGCTCCCACTGCTAAAGACAACTACGTGCAAGCGAATTAATGAAATAAAATTGAAACATATGTTAGTCCCGAAATAACCTAGTTTGTGTAAAGTGGGCATTAAACCTAATTTTATTTAGGTTTCTTTAAACGCTACCATTTACCATCCCCCCCTCCCCTCTGTCTTTTACACCAGAGACTTGTCACGATTAATTTACCTGTGACTGTTTACAAGTATTTAAACAGCTGACAAATCTCCTTGGATTTAAAAGAAAAAGTTAGCCAAGATTTAACTGAAATCAATATTTGAAACGTCCTGTACAAGACGGCCCTTGTGCCTGTAACAGGACGATTTGAACAGCCGTATAATTGCGACACAGTTTTTGCCAATTATCCTCAACAAAATAGATTGACAGGAAATAATTATTTTTTTAACTAACCCAAAAGTAGATTGAATTATGATAAAAAAAATATGTCCCAGCGCAATATCGAATGATGCTATTATTTCTGATTCCATGTCGATGGATATCACGTTACCATATGAGGCGTTATTATGTGTTCTTTCTATATTGGGAACAGATTGGAATCTTCAATTGAAAATATTGGATGAATGTTTGAGCACCTGGTAGTTTAAAGCCAAATATAGTAACGAAAACAGGAAAATTATTGAATTAGGCAATAACTATATTCTTTTCATACTATTTTCGTTTCCAGGAATGTAATGTTGGAGAGTTTTTTTTTTACAGTTTGTTAATATGACATATTTGAGGGAGAATATGACAATGTTTTCTAGATATTGATAAAATGAAATGAAATGAAATGGGGTTTAACGTCCTACTGTTTTACTCCGAACTGGGCTAATGAAGACGGGCATACGCCATACAGTGTGCTATGAGGGAAATTTTGCCCGGACAGCGACACTATGGCCTACTCTTATATTGAATTCCAACTGTCAAGGGATCTTTTACTTGCATGCCAATGTGTACACGGGACCTCGGTTTTCCGTCCCATCCAAACGACTAGACAGTTGTTCTTGTCAGGCCCTCCGTCCTGTATCACTGACAAGGGGGAAGCACGCCGGAAAATCTGGATGAACTTTCTCGGCCAGTGCAGGGATCGAACACCCGACCTCCAGGCTAGCGAGACAGAGTCTTTTCCATACAGCCACCGTGATTGGTAAAACCTAAAAATTGTTTTTATGTCAAATAAAGTCTAAAATATCTGAGGAATTGAAATGATATGGGGTTTTGTGTCTTACTTTTCTGCACCAACTGGGCTAAGGAAGATGGGCATACACCATGCAGTGTGCTATGAGGATAATTTTGTCCTGACAGTGGCGCTATGGCCTACTCTTATTTCAATTTCAAATTGTCAGGAGATCTTTAATATGGTATACAAGGGGCCTAGGGGGTTTAACGTCCACTCAACACAAACTAGGTCATTTTGGGACTAACATATGGTTCAATTTTTAATTCAATATTTCCCTTGCACATAGAGGTCTTTAGCAGTGGGAGGAAACTGAAGGACCTGAATAAAACCCACAAGGTTTGACAGGCAACCTTACTCCTTTCCACGTACAACTGGGGAATCGAAACCACGCCACTTGGCCTGAATGGCAGACATTATCGAAATGATCTAGTTTGTAGGGAGTGGACTTAAACCTCTCTCTCTCTCTCTCTCTCTCCCTCTCTCTCTCTCTCTCTCTCCCTCTCTCTCTCTCTCTCTCTCACAGATGAATATCAATAAAAAGCTAATAAAAAAAGATGTCTGCACCAGACAAAAGAGATTATTCCTGAAAATGTCTGTGACTGGGTGTTTAGAATAAGTGAGTCCTTCTCTTTAAATAAAAATGTAACAACTCATGAATGTAATCTGGGAAATAAATCGCGAGAACTTGGCATGTTGTATGATTAATGAATTGGTCTGTTCAAGCACTACTGAAATAAATATAACCATCTTCATTGAACACAATTTCTTGATGCAGCTTTGCGTAATTATCTTAGACTGGATTTGTCGGTCCTTCATTAAAGCTGCATGATAAAATCTACATATTCGATATTTTCGATTCCAAATTTGTATCTTTTAGACAGTTGACGTGCCGTGTTGATCTTATTAATAGACATTTTGACGAAATATTACCAACTTTGTGAATTATGAGAAATGTTTTGGATTTATGGGTATCTGAGATTTTTTTGCTCATCACTAGATATATGTTAAAGTTAAAATTTCATATTTTTAAGTTATATTTTTAAAATGTATTAAAATAAAGCCCTAAAATAGATGGTATCTATAAACAGTCCTACCTTGTTAAAGAATAATCCTATAATTCACTATTGCCAGTTGAGAAATTGGCAAAAATATCATTTTCATCTTCAAACGTTTGAAGATAGCTACTCCATGGTGGAGATTAGAAAACAAGGGAGGTTATTGGGAGGTAATTGTGTTATTATTTCCGGTGTAAATGAGGTTTAAGTGTGAGAATGACACCTATGATCGTATAATAGTGAGTTGACAACCTATTGAGCAAAAGACATAGAAATAATTATGTTTTGACTTTCTTAGAAAATACGAAATTGTAACTTTAAAGAAAGTAATCATGTATATTGTCGTCGGCCCTGTCTGTGGATACTCAACAGTTCATAATTTTTATCCGATTTTGACGAAACTTGAAATATAGATTTATCTTCCAAAGATCTTGGTTCCTTTCGATATTGTCATGTATTGGATTGTAACTTCATGGATTATGGCCCCTGATTGCACAAAAAATCACGTTTTTATCTCGTGGATCCTCTAGAGGTTACAATTTTTATCCGATTTTAAAAAACGTTTAAATGTTTCATTGTTTCATCATAATGAAGGTCGAGTTTGAAATTCTGGAAAATTGAAATGAAATGAAATGAAATGGAGTTTAACGTCCTACTGTTCTGCTCCTAACCTGGGCTAATGAAGACGGGCATACGCCATACAGTGTGCTATGAGGGAAATTTTGCCCGGACAGCGGCACTACGGCCTACTCTTATATCGAATTCCAACTGCCAAGGGATCTTTTACGTGCACGCCAATGTGTACACGGCACCTCGGTTTTTCGTCCCATCCGAACGACTAGATAGCTTTCCTTGTCAGGCCCTCCATTCTGCATCACTAACAAGGGAGAACCACGCCGGAAAATCTGGATGAACTTTCTCGGCCAATGCAGGGATCGAACAAAAATTGAAATGAAAGTACCCAACAAAATGGTGGCTCCTTGTACGCAAATTGTGTACAAGTATGTAATACAATGGTTATGGACACTCTAGGGGTCACAATTTTTGTCCAATTTTGATGAAACGTAAAGTATATCTTTATATCCCAAAGATCTCAGTCCCTGTCGCTATTCGCACATTTCAGACAATAGCTTCTTGAATTATGATCCCTCTTTAGGTTGATCTCTATCCATCTTTTGCAAAATGTGTTCGTATCTTGCCTGGCAACCATTGGTTTTACAAACAGTAAGTTGTAAATGAAAGATTTATAGGAAAAGTTTATCGGACTAATTTCCATTATGGCTATTAATTTAAAAAATAATTCCATTTTCTACTGGGAGCCACAGACGTGGCTCTAAGTTATAATTACTTATAATGTGCTGACTCACATACCAGGAGGGCCTGTCTTCGATTCCGAGAGAGTTCCCCAGTCACGTTTCCCCCTTGTCAGTGGTGTTGGTTGTAGGACCTGGCAAGGAAAAGGTGCCTGGTCATTTGCATGGGACAAAAAGACCTGGCCTTAAGTCCACAAAGCATTCTCAGACTTAAGTTAAGAATTTACTCAAAATTGTTCGCCTTTTTAAAACTGAAATATAGCCCTTTATGAAACATTTGTTGTTTCAGTGTATCAAATACATCAATAAGAAAATATGTGCAAAGTTTTGTGTTTCTGGATCAAAGATATTTCTCATAAACAGTGATTGAAAGTTGAGTTAATTCTTAACTCTAAGTCTGAAAATGCTTTGTGAACTTGGGACTAGAAAGAAAGAGGCACTAATACTTTGGAGATCTGTTGTTTTTGACTACATCAGTTACATCAGATGTGGGGGGAAGCACAATTTGAGACTGTTATGACACATCATTCCATGTTAACAATCGGCCTGTGACATGACACTTCAATACATGTTAATACTCTGTACATGACTGACTTTCATCATGACTTGCACACAGTACCCTTGGTAGTTGGAATTTCATGAAGAGTAAGCAGACATGCTGCCACTGTCCTGGCAAAATTCACCTCATATCATATGACATTGTGTAGAAATTTAATGTAATGATTATTATATATTTTTTTTTTCAGGTATTATTAGATCTAGCGAGAGTGATATTCGAAGAACAGAGTAACGTAGCTAATTTAATACACAAAATAATGATGCATACTTTATCACTGTTACAATGTGAACGATGTCAGGTATTGCTCGTTGATGATACAATACAGGTACTTATTTTACTTTTATTTTATCTTTTAGAGTTCAATTCCACCTTAGGCACACTACTGACTGTCTCCCCTTATTGGATAACACAGTTTTGCTGGAATTTATGGTTAATTTTCAGTTTAAAATGAGTCTGTCTTTCTGTCATCACACGTTTTGGCACACAATGACTTTCCTTCTAATTGAGCTAAAATGTTGAAACTTTAGTTCTAATTCAGTGAGAGTGATGAAACTTGATGTATAGTTTCATTGCATCAATACCTTGACTAAATTTGATAATGAGCATTTTCTGCTCAGGGCAAGCAGAGTGATAAGCAATTTGATTGGCCGAGACTTTGGAACACAATAACTCTCCTTCTAATTGAGGTAGAATGTTCAAACTTGGTGTAGGTGTTCATTAGGTGAATGCTGTGATGGAGTTCGAAGAGGAGCATTTTCTGCTTAGGGTAAGCAGAGATAAGCAATTTGAATGATTGATGCTTTGGGACACAATAACTTTGGTTCTCATGAAGTGAGAGTGATGAATAGTTTTGTCACATTATTAACTTGACTAAGCTTGATAATAAGCATTTTCGGCTCAGGTTAAGCAGAGTGATAAGCAATTTGATTGGAACTCGATAACTTTGATTCCTCCTACAGCTAAAAACTCTAATTAGCAAGCGAATTATTGAAATAAAATCAAACCATGTGTTAGTCCCGATATGACCTTGTTTGTTTCGAGTGGACTTAAATTCTCTCTCTCTCTCTCTCTCTCTCTCTCTCTCTCTCTCATCCATTTTATCTATATGTTAGAATTTGCATTATCTATATATGTTATATATATGTTTTAAGCTTTATTTGTCAATATATATTTTATAATGTTGTGTATACCCCGTTACGCACCATATACAGCATGTATACAACATTTGTTACTTTTGTTGCTATAGCAATGTTATAAACTATAACACATACTTATGAAAAAACAGCTAATTGTTTATTTGGGTGATGATTCAAAGAGTATTCTCTCAACGTTATCAAGCTAATGCAATAATACAAAACTATACAGAAAAATATCACAACAAATCATTAAACCATAGCTTGGTGGGGGAGGGGGGGTGGATGGCCGAATGGTTAGAACGTGCGCGCTGTATCATAAGGTCTGTCATTGAGTCAACTGGAGTGGTTTCGATTCCCTGGTTGTACGTGACAAGGAGTAGGGTCGCTCGTCCAACCTCGTGGGTTTTCTCTGGGTCCTCCGGTTTCCTCCCACTGCTAAAGATCCCTACGCACAAGCGAATTATTGAAATAAAATTGAACCATGTGTTAGTCCCAAAATGAGATGGTATGTGTCGAGTGGACGTTAAACCTCATCTCTCTCTCTCTCTCTCTCTCTCTCTCTCCATAGCTTGATAAGTTGACAGAATAGTCTTCAAAACATTGCCCCAAAAAATCAGTAATTGTTCTTCCATAAATAATACGTGTTATAGTTTATTGCTCTATCCAGTTACTAAATGTCGCTTAAAGAATATTACAGCAATGTTGTATTGTACAATATATATTTTATTTTATTTATGAATTTTGACAAGTATCGATGTATTTTATTTCTTTTCCTCACCTGTTTTGTTTTTACAGGACAAAAACAAACCATATCGATTATCAAAAATGGTGAATATGTCATGTTTTTTCTTTATCCCTTTTGTTTCTTCCTTTGGTATTTAGTTCCTTTGGTATTTAGTTCTTTTTTTCCATTTGAGGTTTGTCAATAACAGCAATCACTGATTTAGAGATCAATAGAACATTTCTTTTATTGTTTTTACTTTCTTTCTCCTTTATGGATTCACAAAGCTCAAACATTATTTATTACTAATTCTAATTAACAGAGAGAGTAACAGAGAGAGAGAGAGTGAGAGAGAGAGAGAGAGAGAGAGAGAGAGGTTTAAGTCCACTTGACACAAACTTGGTCATTTTGGGACTAACATATGGTTCAATTTTATTTCAATAATTATTGTGTGTAGGGGTCTTTAGCAGTGGGCGGAAACCAGAGGATCCAGAGAAAACCCACGAGGTTGGACAGACGACCCTACTCCTTGTAACCCCTACTCCTTGTCACATACAACGGGGATTCCTCTCTCTCTCTCTCCCTCTCTCTCTCTCTCTCTCTCTCTCTAATCATGGGGTATTGGAAGCGGCCTTATAAATGTAATAGACTAAGACCTCCCTATATCTAAATTTGGCACTGCTCTGTCCATTCATCCGTTGGTTGATTCATCATCCACAATTTCTTGTGAATACTCTTCAGTCTATTGACAAGAGTTATCATCCAATCTGCTTGAAATTTATATTAGTACCGTATTTTTCGATGTATTAGGCGCATGCGTAGTTAAGGCGCAGGGCAAGTTTGGCAGAGGTGTTTCAGGAAAAAATAAAAGTGCATGGTTTAGGTGCACCCATCTCCAGCGCCTTGTCGAACACCTGCCATACCATACGTGACTCAAATACACCTGGAACCTCAAGCTTTATATATATTTCTTTATGAAATAGCTAATTCTATATACATTTTTGGATTGCCTAAGACTTTATATTAATTATAACTTTCAATTGCATTGTTTCATAACTTAAATGGTAATTCTGGTGCTCGTACGGTAGTCAAATTGTCTAAAGTCCCTCCCACAACAAACATCGCCGTCTATTACATCCTGTTAAATTCACGAGCAATTGGCTGTGATAAATGAATAGGTATTGATGATAAATAAATGAAATAATAACTGTAGAAACAATCCTCACTATCGGTAAAACAGAAACAATAATTCTAGTTTACTTTATACTATCCAAACAACTGAGAAACGATGGCGTCCATTGCCCCGCCCACTACATGCGGCATGACAATACCTCGAATGAAGCCATTATGATCTATCAGTAACATAATACAATAGCATTTTTGATACCAATCAAAGAAACAATGATTTTGTGAACTACAAACAACTTCATAAAGCATACGGTGACAAATCACCATCAGTGAATCTATGTTGCATGAAATCTAGCGGTAACTTGAAACGGCTAGATGTAAAATTTACACAGCAATGTATAGAAAATACCAACAAACTTTCCATCAAATTTTTAAAAATTATTTATTGAAAATGGCAAGGAGAGAGAGAGAGAGAGAGAGAAATGGGGTTTAACATCCACTCAACACAAACTAGGTCATTTCGAGACTAACATATGGTTCAATTTTATTTCAATAATTCACTTGCGCGTAGGGGTCTTTAGCAGTGGGAGGAAACCAGAGGACCCAGAGAAAACCCACGAGGTTTGACAGGCGACCCTACTCCTTGTCACGTACAGAAAATGGCTACGAGACGAAGAGCTAAAGAGTACGGTAACAGTGTCAGGGGTTGTAAATTTAATTTGGGTGAGTCGAACGTAAGGTAAATAAAAGAATATCTCTCTCTCTCTTTCTCTCTCTCTCTCTCTCTTGCTAAACTACATCCCAATTTCATTGTTTAGGTTTTTAACACTGATGTTTTTAATTAGTTCATGGACTCCCAGATTTCTTGTGCTAGCATCAGATTTTTATTGTCCCCCGCCTTTCGAAGAAAGCAGGGGACTATTAAAATGGGTTCGTCCGTCTGTCTGTCCGTCTGTCCGTCCGTCTGTCTGTCCGTCACACTTTTTGGGACACAATAACTCTCTTCCTAATTGAGCTAGAATGTTCAAACTTGGTGTATGTGTTTATTAGGTCAATGCCTTGATGGAGTTCGAAGATGAGCATTTTCCGCTTAGGGTAAGCAGAGATAAGCAATTTGATTGGTTGATGCTTTGGGACACGATAACTCTCTTCCGAATTGGGCTAGAATGTTCAAACTTGGTGTATGTGTTGATTAGGTCAATGCCTTGATGGAGTTCAAAGATGAGCATTTTCCGCTTAGGGTAAGCAGAGATAAGCAATTTGATTGGTTGATGCTTTGGGACACGATAACTTTTAATTGAGCTAGAATGTTCAAACTTGGTGTATGTGTTTATTAGGTCAATGCCTTGATGGAGTTCGAAGATGAGCATTTTCCGCTTAGGGTAAGCAGAGATAAGCAATTTGATTGGTTGATACTTTGGGGCACGATAACTCTCTTCCTAATTGAGCTAGAATGTTCAAACTTGGTGTATGTGTTGATTAGGTCAATGCCTTGATGGAGTTCGAAGATGAGCATTTTCCGCTTAGGGTAAGCAGAGATAAGCAATTTGATTGGTTGATGCTTTGGGACACGATAACTTTAGTTCTAATTAAGTGAGATTGATGAAACTTGGTGTATAGTTTCATTACAGTAATACCTTGACTAAGTTTGATAATGAGTATTTTCTGCTCAGGGTAAGCAGCAATTTGATTGGTTGATACTTTGGGGCACGATAACTCTCTTCCTAATTGAGCTAGAATGTTCAAACTTGGTGTATGTGTTGATTAGGTCAATGCCTTGATGGAGTTCGAAGATGAGCATTTTCCGCTTAGGGTAAGCAGAGATAAGCAATTTGATTGGTTGATGCTTTGGGACACGATAACTTTAGTTCTAATTAAGTGAGATTGATGAAACTTGGTGTATAGTTTCATTACAGTAATACCTTGACTAAGTTTGATAATGAGCATTTTCTGCTCAGGGTAAGCAGAGCGATACGCAATTTGATTGGTCGAGACTTTGGAAAACAATAACTCTCCTACTTTGATTGTTAGACTATAAGTAAAGATATACTGTTTGATTGTTCAATACTTTGTAAAAGATAATTTGTGATAAATTTATATGTGTCCTCTAATTATTTTCCTATTTCGGCGGGGGACATCAGCCTCACTGTTGGCTTGTTTTTTTAGTTTTAAATCCGAAACCAGACATTGATTATTCATGGTTCTTGTGGTGTGAGTAATTAAGACAACTTCTAAATTAAAGTCAGATTTCTGATTCTAGATTCGGTTGTCTTAAATTAGCTTGTTCAATTAAATTGTCTAATTTAAATCTATTGATTAGTTGATTTTGAAAACTGTTCCCCTGAC